TTCAAATTTTAATATATGAGATTGAAGTGAAGGACGGAGCTAGAAAAGGACAGGAATATCAGAGTTTAGGGGGAGATGATGATAGAGAGAGGTAGTATAGTTAGGTGATTTAATGCCTCAAAGGGATGGTGAAGAGGTTTTTTAAATTTTTATGTGTATCGGTGACACTGATAACAACAATTTGTACCATTTCAATTTTTAATCTAATACCGGTACTCAGTTTCAGTGGAATTTCAGGAACCACAGATGTCAGATTGAAAACTGGAATGGTGTAAATTGATGCTATCAGTGTCTCCTATACACATAAAAACTTAAGAAGAACTCTTTACAATCTGTTTAAGACCACAATCATAGGGTGTCACTTAAAATTAATCAAACATGACTGGCAAAAACATTAATATCAATACTCCTGACCTCTGAAAACTATTTAACTATTTTCCTTGGTTGTTTCAATATCTGAAATTTAGAAATGATATGAAATGAACTTTCATGTCCTACTTTTCTGCTTCAGTAAACGGTAAAGATGACAGGCAATTCCTTGCTGTGTGCAATGAGTAAATTTCACTATAAAAGTAGAAGTATCTGTAAAATAAAAGAACAAACTTCCCAAGGAAAGTTTTTAAGTAAGTGTTTATTGTGCCCATAAATTTTAGACTCGTACTCAGAGGTCAGATGAGAAAAAAGATGAAGAAAAGAGATGGAGATGGGATGTCAGATATCAATTAACACCTTTAATTAGTAATTACACCTGGCTGAAATATTGCGAAATTTGAACCCATCCTTATCATATCATCTGTAATTCTTCAATTACGTTCAACGACTTGGGTTTTATTTTCTTTAACACAACATTCATTAGAAACTCATTTAGATTAAATAAACAATTGAAGTTACAGGTAAAAAAATACCTGAACATTGTAAAAACAACATATTCACAGAGAATTTAGTTAAAATTTTACACCTCAGTGATGAAACATTCTGAACTATCAGCTACGTGGACTAGTTGACAAACCCAGTAGTAAAGTGGCATCAGGTGTTCTGAATTGTGGGAAAATATAAATACTGATTGATATATCATAGCAAGAACTGTTCATTATATTGGAATCAATATGGTTGAAGTCAACTAAAGCGGTCTTGGTGGGCGATTTTTGTTGCTGATTAGAGTCTTGTCAAAAGTTTCACCGACCAACTGTCAGCGCACAAGGACACAAAAAATCTCCAGTCAGTGCCGATCATGCGATTGAAAGGAAAATGAATCTGATTGGATGATGACGCTCCGTCTTGCAGCCAAAAAAACAATCAGCGATAAATCCTATCGTCAACGATTGTGATAATCTTGTCATGGGATTTTACCTAGGATTTGCGTCTGCACCAAAAATCGGCGTCAAAGGCAGCATTAGAAATCTCAGAGACCATTAAAGCACTTAAAAGTTAACTTGTCTTTGGCTTCAAGTAGATTCCAAGCTGTTTTAAACCAGGTTCTAAGCCACATTAAGGTGCCATTGCTATATACAGTATATTATATAACATGCAGTGTATATTTGTGTGTGTGTCTTTTCAACTAAAATCATACTAATGACTAACTAATTTTCACATATTTAATAAGCTTATCTATTGCTCTGTGACCTAGGCCAGTGCTTTCATTGAGACTCGTGTCAATACACCTTAACACTGAAGTATACTACAATACAGCATGTTTTGAGCTGTACCTCTTCATCATCTATTCATATAAATCAAACGTTCTAGCCAAATATTGTGTTTGTTTGGGTTCCAAAGATTAATATAAAAACAGATGTTTATGAACCCAAGCTTTTTTAACCAAGTCCAAAGTTACTGGGGTGAAAACAAACAAGTTTTGAAGACTAATTACAGAGCAAGGGAAAAATAAACAGAGATATCAAATTTCTATCTTAGAAACCTGAAAATTACAGATGATACAGTACATTCAATCAGGGTTGTTGATTTGAATGTATTTACCAGTCATGTCTGATTACAGGGTTAAAAATGACTGCAGACCAAAACAAAGGTTTTGTTGTTTAATTAAAGGGAAAGATTAGTGATTTTCCTTGGATGATATGAGTCTTGAATATATATATAAATAGTCTTCAGAAGTACTAGAAATGTATGAAAATCACATAATTCCTTCAAACATATCTCAAACTAGGAATTTCACTCTCTAGTTCTATATATTTTTCCTATATATCTCAGAGTCTCAAAAAAAAAAAGTAATCATTTTAACTTTCAAATGCAGATAATTCTGGACACACATGGATTTGGAGGCTCAAATTTCGACAGTGAGCTGTGAACACTATTACTGATTGGCTTAGCTAAAAAATTCCCATTTTTGAGACTATAGTTCGATTGGTCAAACAGTCAAACAGATGGCGAACCTGTCCCTTTAAGTAAATCAGTAATATAATCACATGAAACAACTTACAATATCTTTGATTTTTTTACAAAATCTTTGTATATAAGTAAGAAAAAAACCTAAAAATTTAATGAAAAAATTGAATTCGACTTCCGGCACTATAAATATTTCATGGTATTCTGCAATTCCATGGAGTTTAAATATCAGTTTCCGAACGGAATATAATATTTTTTTTCCCGAACTAACAAATTACTTGTCAGAAATGATCGATTATTTCATTGCATTTTTGTTTTTGTCAATAATTTTACTTTCAATTTCCTATTCTATGAAGTTAAATTTTTCCAATCCATTTAATTTACTTATATATAAGATGAATTGGTGGTTTACATCTGAACTTTTTGCTCTTTATAGTAATGAAATGAAAAGAGGCATGTCATTCAGTGTGCAATGAGGGAAATTTGTCAGTGCTACAGCATTAGGTCATTGCTTATTGCAGCATGAAGATGGGTAATACCATGAAGTGTGCAATGAGGGAAATTTTGTCAGAATTGCGGCATTAGACTACACTTTTTATGTTTCAAACTGTCAAGGGATCTTTTACATTCACAGTCTGTTGTGGGCTATGAGGGAAATTTTGCCAGAATTGGACATTAAACTACACTTTTTCGATTTCAAACTGTCAAGGGATCTTTTACATTCACAGTCTGTTGTGTGCAATGAGGGAAATTGTTTGCCAGGATTGCAGCATTGTCTATTCTCTTCAGATTTTAATTGCTAAGTTGTTGTCTGGTCGTTAATAAATAACTATGTGAGATTATTGCCCCTGTCTTATCACTGGGTAAATTGCTGAACAGTTGCAGTTCAGGAACCAAAAACCTCTCTTTTTGCGTTCAGCAATTTATTGAGAGCCAAATACATGCTATCTTAAAGCCGGCTTTCACTTTACACAGTATAAATTCACAATCCAACTTTCGGCAATATTAAACGGTAGTCTTGTACATCACAAGTTGTTAAAAATGTGCGACTTTATGATCAAGGCTTGTCATTCAGGAACCAGTAGGACTCAGTGTAAATACAACACGTTTCACAAAGAAGCTGGCTTTAAGCTAGCTTTACTTTACAATTCTTAGTGGAAACATGGTTCATATCTGTGATGTAGTGAAAAAAATTTTCCCAAGATAATATTTTATCAATGTAGGAATGTTGTATAGGGACTTGATAAGTGAGAAAACTAACAGGAAAAGGGATTAGTGAAGGATTAAGGTGTATTATCTAGCTAGATTTGAAAACATGCCAAATATTATAATACTTATCATATAATCATAAATATTCCACCATGAAAAGTGCAGCTAGCGCTCTGCAGCATATATTAAGGTATATAAAGAGACAAGTTTGCATTTTTGGGAGGTTAATTTTCTGAATATACTTATACTAATATAGTCTTCAGAAGTACTAGAAATTAACAAAAATTGTATTTTTTTCCTTCAAATATATCTCAAACTAGGAATTTCACTATATATATTAGTAATATGTCTTTTCTATTTCTATATATATGTCTTTTCTATTTCTATATATGTCTTTTCTATTTCTATATATGACTTTTCTATTTCTATATATGTCTTTTCTATATATGGCAGAGTCTCAAGAAACGAGTTGTCTATTTAACTTTCTAACGCACATAATTCTGGACACACATGGATTTGAAGGCTCAAATTTCCACAGTGGGCTGTTAACACTATTAGCTTAACTAAAATATTCCAGTTTCTGAGACTATGGCATGATTGGTGAAATCATAATTTGTTGTCCATTCTAGTATCTTTGCCAGTGGCAGTCGACAATTTGACTCTGATTTTGGTTAATGGTGAGAACTTGGTTTAATAATTTCAACCAAAATACCTTTTCTATTTCAGGAATTGAAGAGTTGAAAAGTGTTCAATGAGTGTGAAAACGAGTAAAAAATGTGAAACATGTGAAGCCTTTATATTTGGATTCTGATAATTTTTTAATTTGGCGTTAATGAATATAGGATTTGATGCCTAGACATTTTGTACAATGGAGTTGTGGTGTTTTACGAACAGTTCGCAAACAAAAATGTCTGCTCGGACTCTTTGGTCTTTTTCTGTTAGCGATGCAATTACTTGATGTGGTGCCCCCTATAGGTCGCGATTCTCCTTTCATGCCAAAATATATCTACCAACGAGACACAAGTGCCAATGACTTAAATGCATTCCCGTCCTTATTGGATACGGACACGTCACATGACTTAAACTCAGCCAATCATCATAGTCGACACATTCAAGGATTTTATCGAGGAATCTTGGAAAAGTTTGAATCGTATCTTCCAGAAAAACTTGAATCTTCCAAGGTGGACCCTGAAGTTATCCATCATGAATCATCCAATCAAAATCCAGACAATTCAGAAGTGACCAATCAAATTGTAAAGATTGGTACAGATTTGACCAATCAGATCAAACGAATTGAGAAAGTGACGTTACCTTCTGTGTTCATTCCGTCAAGTTTACGAGGTTTGCCTCATCGCGATAAAAATAATCCTGCTCAATTGGAGTTATTTGAACGATATTACGAAAAACATTTTAAATCCAAATCAGAACTTCTGGATTTAGAAAGACATGGATTTCTCCATTTTTCCTACAATGTAACAGCTAGTGACAAGATTCCTATCAATCGAGAGATTCCAGACACCAGGCCTGTTAGGTAAGTTCAGTTTTTTATGATTTTCAGGCAAGACCTATTTATTTTCTTGTTTTACTGATTTTTTGTGACCGAAATTTGTATGAATTTTTGACGACATCACAAATTGAAAAATATGCGTTATCACATAAGACGCTTCGCGATTAGTGACGTGATTAAACTCTTAGTTTTAGTGGAATTGCAGGAACCACAGATGTCTGATTAAAATTGGAATGGTGCAAATCGACGCAATGTCCCTGATACACATAAAAAATTAGAAAACATCTTTACAAACCCTTTAAGCATTAACTATATGAATGGTATAAGGCAATGGTAAATTTACATCTGAATTTCAATATAACGAAAATTTGACAATATTTTAGGAAATGAAATAAAACTCCATTTATCAAAACCCCATTAATATTAGTCATGAACAACTTTAAATTGTACAGGATTACAGAGCTTTATAATGTGTGTTTTGTGTAATCTTTGGCAGATGTTTTGGTTGCTACAGACGATTAAAAAACCAAACAGACTTAATTCTTTGTTTGTGATGGCGCTTTATTGACGTATTGATATTCAAATAGAAATATAATCTGAATTTTCTCTGAGTTAACTCTAGATGTATTTTATTCAGTCTAATTACAATTTGCTAAACTGTTCTTCCGTTTTTTCTTTAACTTTTATTTTTAATACAGCTGCTTCACTTAAGGTCTAAAGACAGCCCTCTTGATCGTTACTCAAATTGACCTAACTAACTGAATTATTTGTTTATCTTGTCAATCTCTCCAGAAGTAGATAATTTTCTATCAACTTGATGTATGCCAATGTTGAAATCCAGTCCCTACTTGTGACCTAGGCCAGTGCTTCCATCTCTTATAAAACATTATACCTTACCTGATTAACACCACATCATAAAATGTCAGCGCTGGAGAAGGTCGAAATTTGATTGGTTAAAGCAGATGTCAAAACTTGGGTCAAAAGGTTAATTTGACAAACATTTACAAGGGCTGTCGTTAGACCCTAACTGTAGTAGCTATATTTGAAATAAAAGCTAATAATAAAAAGGAACGAATTAAATTAAATTGAATGAAAATAAAACTTTTTTATTTATATTAAAATTTTTGGGCAATGATCCCTCAAGAAAATGATACATGAGCAAGTATTTTGAAAGAAAGCTGGCAACAGATTTTCCGGTTCTGTCAAAGATATTGCAAACTAATTCCTTTTTCTTGTGATTTCGCATAAATTTGTCAAAACATTGAAACACATGTGTTAAGTGTTACAATTAAGATAATGGTATTTGTGTATGTGGGCTGACTTAAAGGGACAGTTGCACCATTTTTGGGGAAATGATTTTAGTCTTGAATATATGTAGATAGTCTTCAGAAGTACTAGAAATGTAATTAATCCATTCAAAAATATCTCAAACTAGGTATTTTTTTTTTCCTATTTCTTTAGATGTTTTTCTATATGGCAGTGTCTCCAGGAAAAGATCACATGGATTTGAAGGCTCAAATTTTGACTGTGAACTGTGAACAATATTACTGACAACCTCAGCTAAAAAAAATTCCTGTTTCTGAGACTGGTCAGACGATTGGTCAAAAAATGGTGCATCTGTCCCTTTAATTGCATTACTTTTGTGTTTTGCATATGAATTGGTTGTTAAACTGCAGGTGAACCATGTTGCACAGTCAATTCAACGCTTGTTCACTAACTAGAAATAAGCCAAGATTATACCTTCAGATTTTTCACAAAAAAAAACTAAGCAAATGCAATGGCTCAAGGTCTCTAATTGCACACTGTAGGGGGTGTCTGTCTACATCAGATGTTTTCAACCTGGATGTAATTTTGGAATTTTTTTGATTTAATGAGGTGCTTTGTAACTGTAGTCTAGCATAAATGTTAGAGATTGCAGGGAAAAGAGGAAATTATGAAATAGTAGGGATTTGTGGGGGAAGGGGGTTGGGGTGAAAGGGGTAATACAAAGAAAACTACATAAAACCAAAAAGCGCTGGAGAAGTCCGTAAGACTCATTTAATTTCACATTATGACAATTCCATCTTAGAAAGTCATTTCTGAACAACAACAAAAAAAAACCTGACAGAAATATCGATCACGTCTGCTTATGAAATTCATTCCAAAATTATTTTTGTCAATTCGACCATTCGTATTCAAGGAGTGATTCATCAGGCCTCTTTCACGTGCATATCATTACACCACTCTAACTCTTTTTTACTGCCGTGTTATTACGCCATGCACGTCAAGTTATTATTATCACGTTATGCATGCTTCACGGAACTGTATTATCCCATTGTAGCCATTAGAGCCAATCAAATCAACTGGAATCTTGTAAAGACTTTTGCTTCAATAACTCACCTAGTCATCAAATTTGACATGAATGACGTGATCTCGGTATTTTATTTGATGAATGTGACGGTACTATTTAGTACAATCTCTCTATTGATGTCTTCAGTTCTTTTACTCTTTTGTTGTGAATAATCTAGTTTATTATTGACTAGGGACAAGAAGAAGAAAGGGGGTGGGGGGAGGGTGCTGGTGTGTGAGGCAGGCCATTAGCTACAGGGGGGGAGGAGAGGTGAAAAATGGATTGTCCCCCCATTGATGTCTTCAGTTCTTTTACTCTTTTGTTGCGAATAATCTAGTTTATTATTGACTAGGGACAAGAAGTAGAAAGGGGGGTGTGTGCTGGTGTGTGAGGCAGGCCATTAGCTACAGGGGGGAAGGGGAGGTGAAAAATGGATTGTCCCCCCATTGATGTCTTCAGTTCATTTATTCTTTTGTTGTGAATAATCTAGTTTATTATTGACTAGGGACAAGAAGAAGAAAGGGGGGTGTGTGCTGGTGTGTGAGGCAGGCCATTAGCTACAGGGGGGAAGGGGAGGTGAAAAATGGATTGTCCCCCCATTGATGTCTTCAGTTCATTTATTCTTTTGTTGTGAATAATCTAGTTTATTATTGACTAGGGACAAGAAGAAGAAAGGGGGTGGGGGGAGGGTGCTGGTGTGTGAGGCAGGCCATTAGCTACAGGGGGGAAGGAGAGGTGAAAAATGGATTGTCCCCCCATTGATGTCTTCAGTTCATTTTCTCTTTTGTTGTGAATAACCTAGTTTATTATTGACTAGGGACAAGAAGTAGAAAGGGGGGTAGGGGAGTTTGATGCTGGTGTGTGAGGTAGGCCATTAGCTAAAAGGGGGGAAGGGGAGGGGGAAAAATAGATTGCCCCAATGAAAAAATTCTGACAACCACCCAATTCCATTACTGCAACTAAACACCATACACCATCGCCCCTCCAGATATATTACTTGTATTCCCAAACTATCAAGTCTGGTCAAGGGCCTGGGGAGCGGGGTTTTGGGGTTAAGTATGAAAATTATCCATATAGGAACAATGGCTGAGGTAGAATTCACTGCACCATAAAGCACTTGAAATCAAAATGACCATCCTACTTTTCTGCAACTGAATAAGCACATTTGATTATGCCAAGAAAAATTTCTGAGTTTGAAAGAAAAATTCCAAAATTCTAGGGTGTTTTTTTTTTTGTTATTTGCAGATTTATTGTCAAAAACTCAGTTGGGCATTGTGAAATTTGAAAGCATCAATCTGAAAAACTCATCTCCCATCATGCATCTTGTGTTTCTGCTGTCTCTCAGCGGGAATAATTTATGGTAAAGAGATTAACTTGTGGGATGCCATTGTTTGCAATTTTAATCAAATTAGCGCGCAATAAAACTTGTACTAATGTCTCTACTCATTACATGATAATCAAATCTTTAGTCGCTAATGATCTAGTCTCTTAGGAATATGAATCATTTGCAATAAAACTTGTAATAATTACATATCTGTGATGATCTATTCTTGAGTCTTGAATGGTCCAGTCTCTCAGTCAAATATGATTTGGAATAAAACTTGTTCTTATTAAGTTCTACTCATTATGATAATCTAATCTATAGCCCCTTCTGATCCAGTCTCTTACAAAAATGATTTGGAATAAAACTTGTACTTATTACTCCACGCATTATATGATAATCTAATCTATAGCCCCTTCTGATCCAGTCTCTTACAAAATTATGATTTGGAATAAAACTTGTACTTATTACTCCACTCATAATGATAATCTAATCTATAGCCCCTTCTGATCCAGTCTCTTACAAAAATATGAGTCATTAGTGAGTGTTTTTAATTGCATTCATTGATCAGAAGACTAAAGTTTTAATTACATTATGAGGTCGTTAGGGGTCAAGATGAAAAGCCTGTTTTTAGCGAAAACTGTAAATTTTACACTAATTCAATAAACATGTTGCTTTTTGCCGCATTATTTAATTAAATTTTTCGGAAACTAAATCTGTAGTGTCAGAAAACATCCAGATTTTTACCATCAAAAATTATTTATGCTCTTTATTATAAAAGAGCTCGAACTTTTATTACGATGATCTTGATGGTGCCCACAGTGCGTGAACTGAACCGCAAATATTTTGATTTGAAACATTGTGAAAAGCTTTTTCAATTTGGAGCAAATTGCCAACAAGAACATTGCAATTCTGATATCAGATGATATTTCATCAAATTTTGATTACAAAAAAACACAACAAATTACAGTTACCAAGTTAAACAATGAATTTTTATTCGTCGTATTTCTTAAAGTTATGGATCTATTGGTAAAAGGTTTAAAATATTTTGGTCTTGGGTGTTATTATAAGTACTCTCCTATAGAAGCACTGGCCAAGGTCCCTAGGAGAGAACATACATCTTTTTTATCAATTATAAATTCCGGATAGACTGAAATTATACGATGCTTACAAATAATACCAAAAAATTCAAAAACACATAAAGCAAATGTTTCAGAGAGTTAAAGATGTGTTTCCTTATTTCCTTATGTCAAATTAAGCAAACTATTTGATTAATTGGTGTTTCTAATGAATTATCATGTATTCTTAATCATATCATTATGTTCTTATTGCATTTATTAAGAGTTTCAACCAATCATTAATGTCCATGTATGTACAGTCTGGATAAACCAAAAAAAGACTTTTTGACCTTTTTGATCGGTCACTCATTGAAATTCTGCTGGTAATTCTCTTCTAATTTAGCTAATTATGAATTAATTATGTTCATGTGAGACAAACTGGTATTTTTCCAAGTCATTAGAACACCTCTACTTTCTATTCATATAAGTATTAGCATTTTCATTTTCATAAATGAAAATAAGGGAACCCATCTTTAAAGAGATGGGGTCCAATTTACCATGGACAAACAAATTGTTTAGATTTTTATTTCTTTTAAAAGCAGTAACTAAATGAGTAGTGTAAATATTCAGAAATTGATTTTAAATCTTTTGTAATATCATTTGCTCAAATTTGTGAAAACTATACACCAAAATCTAGAGAAATGTGTCCCTTAAGGCATCTGAAAGTTAATTTTTTTAACGAGGAAACTATTTAAAAAGTTAACATATGTTTAATTAAGGGCTTAATTAACTATAAGTACGCTCCGTTTTCAAATTCAGTACATACACAGATTAAAATAGGATACTTTCAGATTTTCAGGTATAATTTACAACTTTTTGAAATTGCATACTGCCCCTTTAATTGTGGCAACATGTTATGAACATTACTATTTTATCTTCAAATCTTATTCCAGGGTGTATTGAAAAATCTGTATATTATCAAATTTCTATAAGTTTAGCAATTGAATAGATTTTACACCAGATAGCACAGTTTATTGAGTACAGCTTCAGTACGTTTTTATACAATTTTTTTCAGTTGAATATGTAAAATGAATACCCATGGTAGAAATTAGAAATTTGTTCAATAAAATAATTATCTAATCAAATTTTTAATGTGTTTAATAGTGTTCACAGTTTACATCAATTTTTCATCAGCTATTTATCAGAATTCAACAAATTTTCACATTGTTAACAGGTTTTCTAAATTTGTTAAGTATCGGGGACACTGATAACATCAATTTGCACCATTCCAATTTTCAATCAGACATCCGTGGTTCTGCAATTTGTCTAAAACTAAGCTTATTATAATATAATATCACTAATCGCAAAGGGTCTTATCTGATACAAACATATTTCAGTGACGTCACGAAACACTTAGTTTTAGTGGAATTGCAAGAACCACAGACGTCTGATTGAAAATGGAATGGTGCTTATTTATGATATCAATATCCCCGATACACATAAATATTCAGAAAACCTCTTTACAATCACTTTAAAGATGAGGTTTTATTTAAAGTTTTTAGACAGATATTTCCATCCCCTCCCCACTAAAAATTTTGCCTTCTTGAACAACTTTGTGTGAATTGTATGTTGTTATATATTGACTCTGTATTGAGTTCTGCTCTGTTTCCAATTCCTTAATTTTATCCTCTTAATAGTTTAATGAAAATAATGTACCATTTTATCTCATGAATTGCACAGGCCAATAAAAAACAAATTTAGAAGAAAAAAAAGTGTTGCCAGACCTGTGATAGCGTTCTAACAGTGTTGCCAGATCACCAGGCTTCCCGAGGTAATGGTGCATACAATCTGCATGGTCTGGTTCCATCTGCTTTTGTAATCAGCTGACCTTGATGTCAGTTTGACGTCTGCTAGAAATGATGAAGGGAAACAGAAGTTGAATTCCTCTCTGAAATTGAAAATACAGATATCATGATCAATATCTGATGGCAAATGAATTTAAATAGCATAAGTTTTTCTTTATTATCCAGGGATGTTTGTCTGCTGTATTTGCCAGTCATCTCGAAATGTCCAGAATAGATCTACCCCAATTTTAACTAAAATGAGAGGATATTTGATACCGTTGTGTAAATGAGTTTCTTGGGTCCATGTTTAGTTTAAAAGTTGGCGAACTGGTTAGCTTTAGAAATGTAAACTATGCTTGAAACCAAATTTGCAGCCAGGCATTCTTTTGTTTCAACCAGACTTGACTGGTTGACTTCCCATGTGGAAGCAGTAGGAGAAATGAAATGAATCAAAGTTTATCTTCAAACTTTTCTACACAACTCTGCTAAGACTGATAACCCCTTGCAGCTTGCAGTGAGGGAAATTCAGTCAAGATAACAACAATAACTTCTTTTTAATATCCAACCGTTGGATCATTAATGTGCACAGCTCGTAGTAAAAGAGGGTTCACACAGTTTTTTGTCCCATCCAAATGAAGGTATTATTTACCCTGCAACTTTCAGGTTAAACTGCAAGAATCTGAACTCACTGAGATACCTAGTTCCTAACAGATAAAGAAAAAACGATCAGGCTAGTCTTTGACTTGTCCATGAAGCGTAAAATGACCATAACAAGAAAGACAAATTATCTTAGATTATAAGTAACTGACCATTGGGATATGCTATGTTAATTAGGAAGAGTCACAACTTAAAGGGACATTCCACTTTTTTTGTTTGCTCTAATTTGTAACTATATACCAAAATCTAGAGAAATGAGCCCTTTAACGTAACTGAAAGTTTTAACTAAAAAATCCAGCCGTTAATTTTTAAATGCCAAAAAATATTTAAAAAACTTTACGTAAGATTTGTAAGTTCGTTATTTTTTTGGAAGCTGTTAGAAAACTAGTGTATGGATTTGAGTAAAATAAACGACTAATTGTAGAGAAATATGTCTCCTACGTATTCTAAAGATTTCAACTAAATATAACGAGGTATTATAAAGCCAAACACCAAAGTGGGTCAAACTATGTAATTAACAATTAGTACTTTTTGGGGAATACAGATTTTAAAAGGCAGTTGAAATCCAATTCGTAAATTCTGCAGTTTACAGAACTTTAAGAAATTGGAATCAGGCTTGGTAGGCAACTCGTAAAGTACATAATGTCTCGAAAAAAAAATGGCAATGATTTAATTTCAAAATATTTTCCTTCTCACCTGCTTAACTAATTATCAAGTTAAAACAGATGTACAAACTGATCCCAGATTTTTTTACCTGAATATTTCAAGATGTAGGATTAAAAAAAAGGTGTATGAACTCTAAACGACTCAGCAGTGATCTGTAAATTACATTTAAAATGATAAAAACGGAGGTAAAAAAGGGGAGATTGCCTGCTGGGTCAGACAGTAAGTATAAAAGTGAGTAGATATACAGAACCTCACACATGTTTACCTTTAATCAAATTTCAACACCTTCACTTTTTTTTGTTTTTCATTGCAGAAGTGAAATTCTCATTGAAGTTGTACTTGGTTTGATGTTATGTTCAGCTCTGTAATTTTTAGGGTCGTAGGCATAGGTCGTAGGACACCGGGGAGCAAATATTATCTTTTTGGGCAGTAACTGACAAAACCTCGGTCAGACGAATAGTGTTTTCACCTTCGATGCTCAGAGTCATCCTTCGCCCAACATCTCAACCCTTCAATATTTTCAGGAAAACCAGTCTGGACCCCCAACAATTTACAATCCTAGGGCCCTATTCTCGAAAACTTTACGAAGATAAAATCAATCTGATTGGATAATAAAACTAAACTTAAAATCAATTTTAGTGATTGGCCAATCAGATGACTAGAATCCTAAAATCATCTTAAGTTTTTGAGAATAAGGCCCAAGAGAAGGTTTTTTTTTAAAGGGAAAGGCTTGATGTCAAATTGAGTATGACTCGGTTAGTGCTTCTATGACGAATATGTTCTCAACAGTTTAATTAAAAGTAGACCAAATTATCATTCAATTTTTTTTAATTTTACCACTTCAGTTGGGGTCCAAAGACGGCCCTCTTGAACATTATTCCTCAGTTTAAGGATGCTACCAACCAATCAAATTTCTGCCCTAGCTATTGGAAGATAAGGATCTAGGTACACGATTTAAAACTCATGAAGATATGATTATTTATAAATGTGTAAAAGGAATGTCTGTCGGGTTCTTTATTTCTACTTAACTTCTTAAACATCAACACAGAAACCAGAAAACTTTCTCCCTTATTATTGAAAAACGCCAGCATATATGTGATTTTAGCAGAAGACGCCACTAAAACTGTGATTTTAGCATAAAAACTGATGTTTTCATAAGATATTTGGGTGCAAACAGCTGCACACATTTGGTTAATTGATCTCATAGCTGGGAGAATTGGCTATGAATATCAAGCATATTTTCATAAAAGTTGATTTTTTTTTTTGCACTACGAATTATTATCAGCTCTATTTGGTTGCATTTGACTGAATTTTGTTTTGATTTGACATAACAAATATATTTGTGTTTTTTGTGACATTTTTCATTCAGACTTTTCAGGAACACTGATAACATCAATTTGCACTATTCTAATTTTCAATCAGACATCTGTGGTTCCTGCAATTCCACTAAAAGTAAGTGTTTGATGTCACTAATTGCGAAATATGCTTGTATCACATAAGACCATTCGCCATTAGTGACAACATCAAATACTTAGTTTTAGTGAACTTGCAGGAACCACAGACATCTGAAAATTGGAATGGTGCAAATTGATGCTATCAGTGTTCCTGATACACATAAAATTTTTTAGAAAACATCTTTACAATTCCTTTAAGTATAGTTATAATTCTCTATCTGAAAATGTTTCAAGTGCTCATCTGGCCAATAGTTACTGTTATATGGAGGTTAATCATCCAAAAATTACTTCCCCAGTGCCCTTATATATTATTATTTTTTTCAGTTGCCCTGTGATAGATCCATCAGAAGTATTCAATGATACTGTTTCCATAGTGATAGCTGTTCACAATGAGGCTCGCTCCGTCCTAATTCGAACTTTAACCTCAATCCTGGTGAACACCAACGCTCAGTTACTAAGAGAGATCATCGTAGTTTTTGATAATGGTGAGTATCAATTCTTTTATGATTGATGGAAAAATAAATGAATGAATGAATTAAGTGAGTGAATGAATGAAAGAACATATATGTCATATCACAAGTTAATAATTCATTGACGTATTCTAACAACCCTTCCAAACAATTCCAATTAAAGGGATTGTAAAGAGGTTTTTTTATTTTGTCATATGTATAGGGGACACTGATAGCATCAATTTGCACCATTCCAATTTTCAATCAGACGTCTGTGGATCCTGCAATTCCACTTAAACTAAGTGATGATGTCACTATTTTGCAATTGGTGACGTTGTCAAACACTTAGTTTTTGTGGAATTGTAGGAACCACAGACATCCTATTGAAAATTGGAATGATGCAAATTGATGATATCAGTGTCCCAGATACACAAAAATAATTTAGAAAAACCACTTTACAATTCTATTTATGAGATAAAGATTGGCTGTGTGACCAGTTATCCCTAACTATCAGAGACTAGTTTCGTTCGTGTTTGAACTATTCAGTCGTGATCCCCTTTTAAAACTCGGAATTTAAAACCGCTGTGATAGAAGAAAATCCATCAGCTAAAAGAGTCTACCTTTCCACCAACCAAGTCTGCCAAAGCTAATGCTAAAGAAGTGAACCTTCCCAAGAGAGACACATCTGTCGCCTCTCACTTCCATTTACTGAGACACTCTGACAAATCTAAACTTTGTTTTACAATTCCTTTAATGTCAAATATCAAGCACTGCAAACACCTATTACTAAGTTTTGTCAGATGATTTTAAATTAAATTAAAGAGGTGTGTTTAAACTTAAACTTTTTGATTCAATGAATTCTATTACAACATTTTATCTTCAACAATCAATTTGTTGATCAATCCAGACTCTTTTGAACTTCGTCAATTTTCATCGACCTCTATCATGAATAATTAACCAGCCAATCAAAACTATTGCCGAGCAGAAATGAAAAACGTGATGTTTTTAAATCCCCTGTAAAATATTCATGTTTATTTCCTCCTTTGACGATTTTCATTTTGTTGAACACGAAGTAAGGTTGGTTCATCATGCTGCCTCTTCTTTAACAGTTTTTCATCAAAGGTTAAAGGGACATTAAAGGGGTTTTCTAAAATTTGTATGTGTATCGGGGACACTGATAGTATCAAATTGCATCATTTCAATTTTCAATCAGACATCTGTGGTTCCTGAAATTACACTAAAACTAATTGTTTGATGACGTCACTCATCGCAAAGGGCCTTCTGTGATAAAGCATATTTTTGCAATTAGTGACACTTAGTTTTAGTGGAATTACAGGAACGACAGACGTCTGATTGAAAATTTGAATGATGCAAACTGATGATATCAGTATCCCGATACACTTAGCAGATATAGAAAACCTCTTTACAATCCCTTTAGAGGGACGACTAAAAATTTGTTTTTTTAATGTTGAGTTGAATGATAGGTCATCGGTTGTTAATTTTTTTATTTTTGTGGCCTGGAAAAATAATAGCTGATCCAAAGAATTGTTACATTAATCACGTAAAATATGAAAGATCTAAAAAGATTGCTACTAGGTATTAAGACCCACTATCAGGTGGTATACACGATCCTGAGATCCAAAGTGATAGAAAGGATATTTCATTTACGAAACTATGTATGGTTCTACACAGATATAACATACACAGCTTTTTCTCTACCGCGACTTAAGACAAATTTATTAAAAAGGTTATAATATTTCAACAAAGTCTTCAAATCACATTTCAGGTTTAGAAATAGTTTTAAATGTGTTTTTAGGGCTTTATTGAAACAATGTAGCCTTCATAAAAATTAGAAGAAGTGATTCAAAATGGTTGTAAACTACATTTGTGTGTGTTATTTCTATATAAGAACCATACGTATTTTTGTATGGATATATCACAGTGACAATAAAATAGATATTGCTATTTCTCAATAAGAGAGCAAGCACCTAATCAAATAGTCCTGGGAATTAAAGGGAGTTAACTGTTAATTATTGCTCGTTAGTTGCCAAAGGGGACATTACTGCTAATTACTTTACTTACTAATTATTCACCAGGGAATAAGAACTTGATATATTCATATAAATAGTCAGTGCTGTTGTTGTGTCTGTTTTTACCAGTCATGTTTGACTAGAGGTTTGACTAGACCACTAGATTGTTGATTTGATTTACTTGCCAGTCATGTTTGACTATAACTTTGAACTGCTATTTTGACTTTATTTACCAGGGCTGATTAGTATTTGCCAGTCATGTTTGACTACAGTTTTAAGCTGCTAATTTGACTTTATTTACCAGTGCTGATTAGATTGTATTTGCCAGTCGTGTTTGACTACAGCTTTAAGCAGCTAATTTGACTTTATATACCAGGGTTGTTGATTAGATTGTATTTGCCAGTCATGTTAATTTGGTTCTAAAAACTGTAGAATATTCCCCTGTCATGAATGACCGGAACTCAAATTGACAGTAATATTGTATTTAACGAGTTATATTACCAAAGAATTAGTCAACAATCTCCCTTTAATAACCAAATATTTGAAGTTCATTGGGTAAAAGATAAAGTGAAAGTTTGAGATCATGTTAATAATGCTATCATCACTAGAAGAGAATCTGACATCTTTAGTTGATATCTATAATAAACACATCAGGTTTTATATAAACTCTCAAGTGTTCATTATATTGGTCTGGAAACTTGGTCTAATGTCTGAAAGTAGTACACTTTGATAAAGCTTATAACAGAGCGTTCAGATGACTAATATTGGGGCAGCTTAACTATTCTTCCAGCCAGTTTTTTGGAAATGTGGACGTATATTTGCTGTCGCTCCGTTGATCTGTCAACATTTCTTTTGAACACAATATAGACTACAGTTTTTATATCATTTAAATGAAATTTGGTGTGATCATTTATATTGATGAGATCTTGGACTTAGACGCTTGAAGGTCTTGGGTTCAATCCTATCATAGGTCGAGATAATACCTTCAGATTTTTCAACCTGGTTTCCCCCTGTCAGTGATGTAGGTACTTAAGAGAGGCTGACATGGAAAAGGTCTAGTTGTTCGGATGGGACAGTAAACCGAGGCCCCATGTGCTACAGGCTGTGCACGTTAAAGATCCCTCGACAGTTGAAATCGAAAAAGAACAGGCTAATGCCGCTGTCCTGGCAAAATTTCTCTAATTGCACCCTGCATGGCATTGCGCGTCTTCATTTGCCCATCTGGTGCAGAAAAGTAGGACGTAAAACTCCATTCATTTCATTTAACTTTAGTCGTCTGAACGCACTATTAGTGATTAAAAAGATCTCTGCATGGTATCACATCTTCATTTCCCCAATATACTTCTTCAGTTCATTAGACCAATAAGATACATAACAGTAGGATGTAAAACCCTATTTCATTAACCAAATAAGGTGTTAGTAAGAAATTAAGATATAAAACTCCATTTCAGGGAATGTTATAAATATATCATTTCAAACTAGGACATCAAGAATCTTTTTCAGAAATTGAAGCCAAATTAAAATCAGAAATGAAAGATGTCTTCAATCAAATGTTTCAAGTATTAATTTCCGTTTGAATGCGAGCAGACGGTAGAATGTTAACAAGTGGCAATTATTACACACCTTTAGGTGGTTTACAATTCTTAATTGGGTTTTAAAGAAGCAATGTGCAAAACTTTCATTATCAAAAACGTCGTAAATTATACCTGAAAATATTTCTTAAGTATGGTATTTATATCTATGTATTTTCTTGATCAAACTGCTTTTTTTTTAAAACGTTGTTAAAGGGGCATTCTGCTTTATTTGTAAAACATTTGCATTATCAAAAAAGTCGTAAATTACACCTGAAAGTATTTCTAAAGTATGCTATTTACATCAATGTGCCTACTTGATCAAACTGGGTTTTTTTAAACGTTGTTATAGGGGCATTCTGCTTTATTTGTAAAACATTTGCATTATCAAAAAAGTCGTAAATTACACCTGAAAATATTTCTAAAGTATGCTATTTACATCAATGTGCCTACTTGATCAAACTAGGTTTTTTTAAACGTTGTTAAAGGGGCATTCTGCTTTTTTTGTAAATAATTTTCATTATGAAAAACATCGTAAATTATACCTGAAAATATTTCTATAATATGCTATATATATCGATATATCTACTTGATCAAACTGAATTCATTGTAAAAGGGTTAATTGAAAACGGAGGATACTAATTGTTAATTAAGCAGTTTGATCTAGTTTGGCTTTATAATAGCTCAATATTATTAATTGAAACCTTCAGAATATGTAGGAGACATATTTCTCTATTACTAGAATCATTTTGCTCAAATCAGTACAGTAGTTTTCTTACAGCTTCCAAAAAACCATAAAGATCTTAAAAAGTTTATGTGATTATCAAGTTCAGTCAAAAGGTTAATTTGATGAATGTTCAAGAAGGCTGTCGTAAGATCCTAACTGAAGTGGCTATATTAAAAATAAAAGTTTATAAAATAACAGGTAGACTGCCCTTTTTCTATGCTGCTCTAATATTCTCTACAGTAAAGCAAGGAGCTGTATTAAGAGAGGAAAGTAATATTATGTAAACAAATCATTAGGACATTGTTGTAATGAGAATGTTAACAACATAATTAGGTTGTTTATATTAGTTATATATCTCACTATAACTCTCTTTTAATGATTGACAACCCTGTCTGTAACTCTAGTAATGATAAATTAATGCCACACACAACATTGTCAAAATATCTTTAGAAAAATAACTGATCTAGTAGCTTGCTAGACATGATAACACAAGCACACATTGTCAAAATATCTTTAGAAAAATAACTGATCTAGTAGCTTGCTAGACATGATAACACAAGCACACATTGTCAAAATATCTTTAGAAAAATAACTGTTCTAGTAGCTTGCTAGACATGATAACACAAGCACACATTGTCAAAATATCTTTAGAAAAATAACTGATCTAGTAGCTTGCTAGACAAGATAACACAAGCACACATTGTCAAA